CATGCTAAATTTAAAAAGACAGGGATGTCTCGCTGCTTTTAATAAGATTGGTTCTGGTTATGATCTTGATATGTTTTATCTTTACGTTGACTCAGTCAGTTTAGATACAGCTGCTTGTGCTCAGAAGCCTAATGAGGGTATCTATCGTGCAATAAACCAGACCGCTAAGGGAGCACTATCTGTTTATTACAAAGGGAAAGATAAGAGTTTATTTGAAACCTGGTGTGTAACATATAGCTATAATACGCAATTTTATAAAAGTTATAGAATACTTTTCCCCATCGGTTTGATCACACAGTGTCAATCGAGTTCGAGATTTATTTTCGGTAAGTTTTTGTTATTAAATATCTTCGCAATTTGAGGACTTTGTTTCCAGGAGTTTTCTATTAATAAAATGTTCAAATTAATACAATACTATCTTTTTATTTCACTCAATTTCTTGATTTTGATCCTGTCCCTCGCAGTCCTCGCTAAACTATAACCTGTATCACAGATTTTACAGGCTATCGCTAAACCACACGTTCTTCGAATTATTTTACACAGCAATTTACACAAAAGAGCGCTTTGTGATATCTGATATATCCAAAATGGACTGATATCTGATATATCAAGATATTTTGCGGTTAAGAATTATATAAGAATTACAAACATCAGATAGGAATGTGTGGATTATTATAAATGTGTGCTGTAATAAACGAGATTTAAACGTACGGTGTATAAACTATACGTACATTGTTATACATGTACATGCAGGTCTGCACGGTATTGTGTTTATAAAATTGCATGAAACATTTTAGAAAACAGCATTACTTTATTTTCGATTTGCAAAAATCATTATTTTAAACATCATATCTAATTATACATGAACCGATAATGTATGAAATTTGCAACAATATATAGATGTTTGCGAAGCCATGCATGCAGCAAAAACTACTGTACGATGTATATAATGTATGTACTCATTGTGTCGAAATCATTAACTGTACGAAATTAAAAGTTTTGGAAAACGGCATTACCTTATAGTTGTTTTTGCAAAACTCGGAAATAAGCTGCATACCTTTTCCCAGCGATAGTCAAGTATTTTTGGATGAATTATACAAACATCGATGATGCATTCAGATCTTTTCAGCCGGAAAAAGCCAGACAAATTGAACGAAAATTAAATCGATGTCCTTAAGTCAGCCTACGCGGTCCATGATTAATGATTATTATCTCCAGGTGAAAACATAACCTGACATAGGCAAATATGTCATGTTGACGAAATAAATATGTTTTGTCATAAATATGATAGCCTGGAAAAGTTTTGGAACAAAAACACTCTTGTTCTATTGAAGGTTCAGTGACATGTTATGGTGATATGGTAAAGAATGCCAACTGTCCTAAAGATCAATACATGGTGGTCAAGGTTGCATCTTACCGTGGATTGCTTGCCACAAAGACATGTGGTTCAAGTAACGATTATAGTTGTGAAGTTGAGGTAACATGCCTTGTTAAGAAACGATGTGATGGTCAACATGAGTGTAGTATAACTGTGGATGACAATTTGGTTTCCGGCAATCTATGTCCAGGATTGTCAAACTATCTTTACTTTCTTTATCAATGTATTGATACCGTGAAACCTTACAAAGAACCTTGTGGTAAGTCTGGACATAAACATATATTCCCATTAGTAGTTGCAACTTATAGTCTCAATCCAGGGCCTTTTTTGAGAATTTTCCCGGGGGAGGGGGCATTTTTTGAAAAGGGACCTTTCTGTGAGATAATATATTAGAGGGGGCCGGGATAGCAATGGCTGAAGGCCAATATACCACGCATGAATGGGGGGTCTTCTGGGGGTGTACTCCCCCAGAAAATTTTTGAAGTTTAAATCCCGGAAATGTCATATCCTGCATTCTGAGCATCCAAATTTGCTCCAAAATTTATGCTAACTATACTTGTATTTGAAATAAATAAAGGAAAAAACGCACAAAAAGTAAAAAAATATTAACCATAATTTGTCATTACTTATTAGAGGAGGATAGCAATGGTCACGTGTGTGGAGGTGTACTCCCTCAGAACATGTTTGAAATTTGAAGCAAGGAAATACCATTTCCTGCATTCTGAGCATCCAAATTTGCTATAAAATGTATGCTAACTATACTTGTATTTGAAATAAATAAAGGAAAAAACGCACAAAAAGTAAAAAAATGTTAACCATAATTTGTCATTACTTATTAGAGGAGGATAGCAATGGTCACATGTGTGGGGGGTGTACTCCTCCAGAAAATGTTTGAAATTTGAAGCACGAAAATATCATTTCCTGCATTCTGAGCATCCAAATTTGCTCTAAAATTTGTGCTAACTATACTTGTATTTGAAATAAAAGAAGGAAAAAATGTACAGAAAGTAAAAAAGAATATTAACTGTAATATATCATTACTTATTAGAGTGGGATACCAATGGCTGGAGGCTATGTGTGTGGGGGCATAATCCCCAGAAAAGTTTTGAAATTTGAAACCCGGAAATGCTATTTCCTGCATTCTGAGCATTCAAAAAATATTAAAAATTACTAACAATAATTTATCATTACTTAGTGGCAGAGAAACGTAACAATTTAAATCGATTTTGTTAAACAAGGACAAAGGATAAAGCCTAAAACTTACTTTCCGTTTATCTATTTGTTAATCTTCGCTGGTTTGTTTGTATAATTTTAGGAAAAAGGGACGGGGCATTTGCCCCCCCCCCCCAGCTTCAATGTTAAAAAAGGCCCTGTCTCAATCAACGTATCTTAAAGAAAACATTTCTAGACTATTTAAAATGTTCAAGTTGTTTATAAAGTTTTTGTTTTGTTATGTTTCGATATATTTTACTTATGTCAATGTTAATATTTTTCCACAAAAATGTGAGTATTTAAATAAATATTCAGAACTAATAGTACTCACCTGTCGTGTGCATGTTCCCCACATATCAGTGACATCATAGACAATCCAAAAACAAAAATGTCTTTTTGGATTCTCTATGGTGACATCCACTATAGCTTCACATGGCAAAATAACCAATAACCTTATTACTTTTGTAGTTCATGACGTATTTCTGTCATACTCACCACTACCTTACAAAGGTATTGTACAAATTACTACTAATGGTAGGACTAAGAATGTTTGTTATGGAAGTTTGAAGAACAGCGCCAAGAATACTGTTTGTCGTCACCAGGGATACAACAGGGCATACTCTCTTGTTAATGTGTCCGCTCCTACGGATGCCAAAGATGCAACATTTTCTGGAAGTATAAACTGTAATTATGAGGACAAATATTTATCCCAGTGTTCAGTTACTGCTTCAGCTAGCCAAAGTTGTTCTGGATTGTCATATGTAGAATGTAAGTATGGTATGATAAAAGTAGATAAGAAGGAACGAATAGGATGCAAAGTTGAAAAAAGTAAATAATAAAGAAATAAATGGAAAGAAAATAGGTAAGGGAAGAATGAAAATAGAATGTGACGAGAACAACTTGGATGGAATCAATAATTCTTTTAAGTCTAGAGTGACAGACATTTAAGTGTTATATTCATTTTTCGTTTTAGGTGGTGTTTCGGAGTATAGACCACTGTTAGAAGATAACCAGAGATTTCCTGATTCTTCGTTTAATGCTTCTGCTTCTTCAGAAGGTCACAGTGCTTCTGATGCAAGGATATCTAGTGGTAGTTCTTGGTGTGCTCCTGTCTCAGATGACAAACATTATCTTCAGGTGGACTTAGGAAGAGTATATCGGCTCTATAATCTCGTAACATATGGTGACAGTACTAGCCCAAAATGGGTGGACACATATAGACTGGATTACACTATTGATTTGGTAAACTGGAAAACCTATAGCTGGGTGAGAATGAATGATATAATTAAACAACAATATAAATTAAGAATATATTCAGACCGTTATCTGCCTAATATCAGAATAACACCATGAAAATATTTCATAAATTATGATGACAGTACTAGCCAAAAATAGGTGGCCCATGTCGACTGAATTACACAATTAACTTGATGAAGTGGAAAACTTGATACAGGGTTAGAAATAATGATACAGCCAACAATAATCCCCGAGCCAACGGCGTCGTTCTAGTATATAGGTTATCAATATTCGCGGGCGCGTGACTATGGTTTATGGGTGCACCTCACTGATATAAAAAATATGGCTGTTTGGCAGGAGTGGGATAAGTAAGATTTCAATTTTCAAAAACATATATTTAGAAAATCGTTTCATACAATGAACTTTGAAGCAATTTCTGTTCGAAGAAATGATTTATTATGGAAAATTGTGAAATATAAGGCAAATTTGTTTTGAATGTTTAATGATGTTTATGAATTTCGTTGCTTTAAATGCAATGCGTAAAACATGCACTGCTTTCCGTTTGAAGGAAGCTGTCAATTTCATAAATTACCCTGTAATGTAATTGGATTAGATTTATTAAAATACGTGAATGGCAGTTCAAAATCGAACTGAAAAACACAAGTTTACATAGTTTAAAAATAGTAGAACAAAATACGTATATACAGATTATAGATACGCTGGTAATACTAATTACAATAACGTAGGATTGCTAATTTACAAATGATATATTAATCTATAGAAGCCTAAAAGATTAAAAAGAGTTCCATTTGCGTACGCAATATGGCAAAAGGCTATCATTATAGCGTTTAATTCGGGTTTTAAAAAGTGGGATAGATCGGGAATGTCTAAGATTGTACTGATGATCTAAAGGTTCAGGTAATAGATTAAAAATTTTGCTCGAAGTGTCACTATAATTGTTTTTGTAAAAAGATCTGCATAACAATTCCCTTCTCTCCTCGAGAGTGGGCAACTTTAGGTCTTTGAGGCTTTCGGAGTAGGACAAGTGGGGAACAATAATTTTGAACGCACGTCTCTGAATGTGCTCTAATTCATCAGTCAGGAACATTGGTAACGAGGTATGCCAGACTGGACACGCATATTCCATGACAGGTCTGATAAAACTACAACATACTGTCCTAAGATCACTCGGGTGGACACCATTTCTTCTTAATATCCTTAAAGCGTACAGACGTTTGCTTGCTTTGGAGGATATGTGCCTGATGTGTGTAGTCCACTTAAGATCGGAGGTCAAATTTACCCCCAGGAGCTTGATGGTATTAACAGCCTCCAGGGGTTGGTTATTGACAATCAAGGGTTGCGCCAAGGGTTGATTGATCAAATATGACACGGTGAAATCTTTAGTTTTTTTAACGTTCAACTTCATGTTGTTCGCACTTGACCATTGGGTCACGTTGTCAAGTTCTTGCTGTAATTTTGGTAGATCAGGTTCACATACTCTAACGACTTCAGAGATTGCACAATCGTCAACATACTTGTACAAAGGCAATTCGCTGGACAGATCATTGACCATTATAAGAAAGAACAGAGTACCAAGTTTGGTACCTTGCCGAACTCCAGCTTTTATTTCTTTCCAATCAGATTTACAAGTTTTTAATTTGACGACACCAGTTTAATAGGACCGGTGGAACATTGAGAAGCTGTAACTTGCGCATCAGAATGTTATGATCAATTCGATCAAACGTTTTGGAAAAATAGATGAAGCAGGTTCGGATAATGGTGTTAGGCGTTTCCAGGGCAGAGAGGCAGTAGTGGACTAAATGCACGAGGGAGTGAGTGGTTGAAGACTTTTTCACACTACCAAACTGGAAAGGGTCGATGCATGGCATAACAATAGGTGCAAGCCAGTTGAAAACAAAAGACCCAAGAATTTTGCTCAACACTGCAGTTAGAGATATAGGTCTAAGGTCCGTATCAATAGACTTCGGTCTAGAGATCTTCCCCAACCGGAGGACATCCGCACATTTCCACAGCCCGGGGACACGACCTTCTCTAATGGAAGAGTTAAACATGGAACACACAGGGATGCTAATAGTTGTAGCGCAGGTATTCAAGAGCCAATTGGGAATCTCGTCAGGTCCTACAGAATTGCGATCTTGGACAGCTACCAAAGCAAGTTCTACGACATCACGGGTAAAAATGTACTCATCAGGAATGTTGGAAATAGGTATGGGAGTAAAGTTTAGTTGTGGTATGTCAGCATCAACACTGCAAAAGGATTCGTTAATAGCAACAGCAAGATCGAAGTCCTTCAAAACAGTGCCATTTACGGCTAAGCTTGTTAACGGGGGAGGATTAGGAAGTCCAGACAACAGCTTGATTCCGTCCCACCACTTTTTAGGATTACTCTCATGCATGTGATTAATTTTGTCATTGTAGAATCTTTGGCGTGCTCTCTTACAGAATCTCATCACTTTATTGCGATAAACGTTATATTGGTGTAAGTCATTATTCAACAAAGCTTGTTGACGTTTCTTAATAGATTCTTTAATAACAGGAGTAATCCATGGTTTGTCGTTAGGATGATGTTTCACAGTACGTATGGGGATACAGGAATTCAAAGCAACGTGAACTACCGACTGGAAAGAATCCAGTTGTTCCTCGCATGAATTCAGCCGCATGAGTGGCGTACAGTTAAATATGATAAAACACTCCTCGCGTTTTAAATACTACATAAAACATTTCAGACATGAATATTGAGAAAATCTTTGAGATTCTAGTTCTACGCAATATATAAATTGATGTTTTGTATCTTACCGGCATTCAATTAATATTTTAAATAAACAATATAAAATATTATAAACGACTATTAAAATGGCCAAGCCCGATCGATTCCTGTGTCTTTGAGAATTACAAAGGCGAACACATTTTAAGGATTTATTATAATACATACCATTCTTTAATCGCATCAGCTTCATGCATCAATTGCCGAAGCACAAACCATTTTGCTATACGTACACTTTGTTGAAGCATCGTTTTAGACCATCCTTCGGTCTTCAACAATGACTCTGCTGTGCCATATAAATATATAATACATTTAATATTTAAATCCGAATATTACGTCGAATAGCTTCGGTAACAGCGTGATAAATAAGTGATTTCCTGCGTCAGTTGTGAGATTTACGAAAACATCCTTCTTTTAGTTTTATATAATAGACTGAAATGCCTTTTTCTGATGCGCAGTGTTAAAACTTTCAAATTTAAAAATACTACAGGTTATTAAAAGGTCGATCTTCCAGTTATCGTGCAGATGATTGCGATTGGTTATTTGCCGGGAAGTCAAATGTGTGGCGAATGTGAGCAGACGTTAGGTGAGGCCTCGGCCACTAACAACGTCTACGCAGGAGGCTAGTCAGGCAGTAGCTCGGATTCGGAAAGCACTCATAGTTCTCAATGTGACTCAGAATACAATTATATTCCTGGATATATTATAGAGGATGAATCAATTGATACTAGTCACGAAATTGGAACTCTAGAAGCAGTTGATAGCGAAATTTTAGGCGATTATGATGCATGCCTTTATGCCGATGAACCGCTAGCTGGCGAAGAATGGTACGCACGATATCTAAAAAAAATCAGCAGAACACAAGCAACAAAACGAGGTGCTACAGCGAAGATTAGATGGCCTTGAAAATATTAAATTATGGTGAGTGTAAACATATATTTATTTTAACAATTTAACGTAAAATAAGTATCTCTGGATTCTGGCTAATATATTTTGCGGGATACGGGCTCATATACGGCATCAGTCACATCAAAGAGTTAAAACCACACTTCCCTCACCTTCGCAAGAAAATACAAGACACGAGATCAAAGAAAATATAAACAGACTGGTTCAGAGCAAATTACGTATATATTCTTGTTTGAAGCTACAGTGTTTAT